CAAATAAAGCATTAAATCGATAACAAAATATGCCTTTCTTCCTAGAGCCTGGGCATGACTGAGAGATCTCTGTCACAGGTTATCTTTGCCCTACCTAGGTCTCTTCCCTGTCTCCCCTAACCAGGTAAACATAAGCCCAAGACAGTGAGCAAAGCCTGCAGAGCCTGAGCAAGCCATTGGATATGCTAGATCCAGGAATGGACTCTCCAGGGAGATTTCAGTATTCACTCGCTTAGAAAAACAAGAGGCTGCAGACCTTTTAAAGTAGAATGAAATTCTGCATGAGCACACACACAGATACCCACAGTCCCCTAGGAATAGTCTCCTTTCTGCATTGTAGGATGCCCCCAAAAGGCACTGAACCACTAGTCCAAGAGCAAAGGTCTCAGATTCTCACCTGCTTCCAATCCTTGGTAGCTGACCTAAGATCACTTGCTTTTCCTTCAGCTTTCCTTGAGAGCAGACTCTGACCTGTCCATGGTTCTGATTGCTAGTGTATTTCACTGGAAGGCAAGGTGAGGGTTCTTTCATTGGTTCCTTCATGATAACTAACATTTATTGAGTACTTACTATGTGCCAGAGACTGTGATATGCTCCTTACATTTAGCCTCTTTTTATTGAAGTCTACCAGACATAATGAAGAAGAGCACAGATCATACACATACAGCTTAGTCAAGTTTCATACAGTGAATTCATTTCATACAGTGAACCAAAACGAAGATCAAGACATAGAACATTATCAGCACCCAAGAAGGCCTTTCATCTCCCCTTCCAGGTGCTATCCTCCAAATGTAACCACTGCCTTGACTCTTAACAGCATAGATTACTTTTTTTCCTACTTTTGAACTTTATATAAATGGATCATACAGATTGTCTTCTCTTTGAGGTCTGGCTTCCATAGCCCAACATTATGTTTGTGAAGTTTATTCGTATTGTTCTAGACAGTTGTAGTTTATTCACCCTTGTTGCCATGTAGCATTACCTTGTGTAAAACATTCCGCAATTTATTCATTCTACTGCTGATGGGGCATTTGAATTGTTTCCAGTTTTCTGGAATATCGCTGATGGAAACATTCTTGCTCATATCTTTAGGTGAACATATGCTTTTCCATAATATATAAGATATTATATATACATGTATATATGAATATGTATACACATACACACATATACAGTGGGTGGTAAAGGTGGTACATTTTTCAATTCCCATTTTTCAGATGACAAATGGAGGCTTGAAGACGTTGAGCCAGGAAGTAGTGGAGCTGGGACATGAATCCTATCCTGTCTGGCATTGGAGCTCAAGTTCTCTAACCATCATGCTTTACTGCCTCCCAATGCATGGGCCATTTAACAGTATTCATGACGTTGGGGCACCTGACTGTAGAACATGTGACCCTTGATCTTGGGGCTGTGGGTTTGAGCCCCACATAAGGTGTAGAGATTACTTAAAAATAAAATCTTTAAAAAAGAAAAAAGTACTCATGACGTGCCGGCCTGGTTGCTGCCATTGAGGGAGACAAAAAGATAGGAAGGCACAGTCACGCAAGGAAGAAAATGATAGATGGGTGGATAAGGAGTCTGAGGAAAAGGGGGTCATTTTTATCTTGGAAGATCATAGGAGGCTTCCTAGAGGAAAAAAAAAACCATCTAAAGAGAAAAGACAGGGGCAGATTCTGGGCATGCCAGGGTGATGAGGAAAGGAGTGCCAGACTGAGAGAGTGGGGGCAGAAGAAAAGGAAGTCCTCATAGAGTCATGGCTACAAGGGCCCTCAGAGGTCACCTTGTCCAGTCCCCATTGTCTACTCATCCATTTTTACATTGCTGGCTTCCAAATTTATATACCCAGTCTTGAACATTACCCTGATCTCTAAACTCTTTTTTATTTAGTTGGATGACAAATAGGCATCTCAGATTAACATTGCCAAGAGAGGGCTCCCGATCTTGTCCCCACACAATCCAAACTGCTCCTCTTCCAATCTTTCTTGTTCTTTGGAACTACCAGCAACCAACTACTCAGGCGCCCAAACACAGCATCATCCTTCCTTCCTCCCTTTCCCTACATCCAATCCATAAGCATGTCCCATCAGCTATATCTACAAAGCCTACTCTGAATGTGATCTCTCCTTACGACCTCCCCACTACCACCCTGGTTATGATTGCCATCATCACTCACCTGGATGACTACAACAGCCTCCTCCCTGTTTTCCCTGCTTCCCTGCTCCTTTGGAAGGCCACAGGGAGAAGCCTTCTTTGCCTCTTCCAGCTTCTGGTGGTTCCAGATGTTCCTTGGCTTGGGGCTTCCTAACTTCAATCTCTACCTCTGTCTCCACATGGCCTTCTCCTCTGCACCTTATCTTCCTATTGTTGGTGACCTCCTCTTATTGGTCATTAAGTTTCGGGTCCACTTGGATAATCTGCAATGATCTCATCTTAAGATTCTTAACTTAATTACATCTGCAAAGATCCTTTTTCCAAATAAGGTCACATTCATAGGTTCTGGGTGGACATATCTTTTAAGGCGCCATCATTCAACTGAGTACAGAGGTGAATCTCAGAAGCTAAAAGAGTTTAAATTGAGTTTAAACTTTAGTCCTCCAGTGAGTGATTATTTTTCAAAGCATAGAAGACTCTTGGCCTGCACATACTTGCTATCTCAGCACTGACTGTCCATGCATCACTTCAAAGGTCATTCTGAGGAGGGAGTGTCTGCACTGTGTTTGCTGCAAGGCTAACTTGGGGCTAGGAGTCTAGCCAGGGACCTTGCCGCAACCCCAAACCCACCAGATCATTGCTGGGGGTATTGTCATTGCTACTAAGGGGCCAAAATAGTTTCCTTCTGAAAAGTGACCTCCCCAAAGAGAGCTAGCTACCTGCTATGCTGGTGACAAAAGGAAAAAGAAGGGATCCAAGAAAGTGCTGGTTCTGATCAAGGATGGTAGGCTGCCTCTCTGATGGATGATCCCCAATAATCTCCCCACCTAGTTTTGTTTTTTTTTTAAAGATTTTATTTATTTATTTATTTATTTGAGACAGAGAGAATGAGAGAGAGAGAGCACATGAGATGGGGGAGGGTCAGAGGGAGCCTGATGCGGGACTCGATCTAGGGACTCCAGGATCATGACCTGAGCCGAAGGCAGTCGCTTAACCAACTGAGCCACCCAGGCGCCCTCCCCACCTAGTTTTTTGTGTTTTTTTTAAGATTTTATTTATTTATTTGACAGATACACAGTGAGAGAGGAAACACAAGCGGGGGAGTGGGAAGAGGGAGGAGCAGGCCTCCCGCCGAGCAGGGAGCCCGATGTGGGGCTCGATCCCAGGACCCTGGGATCATGACCTGAGCCGAAGGCAGACGCTTAACGACTGAGCCACCCAGGCGCCCCCCCCCCACCTAGTTTTTACGCCCTTATGTAATCCCCTCCCCTCAAGCATGGGCTGGGGATACAATATAGTAAAATTGTCAGGATGTTATTTCTAAAATTTCCATGGCTTCTGTATTGCTCACCTTTTCTCACTCTCTAGCTTTCTTGCTCTGAAGGAAGCCAGCTCCCATGTCAAGCAGCCCTGTGGGGAGGCCCGTGTGGCAAGGAACTAATCTCTCCAGCCAACAGCCTACAAGAACCTGAGGTCCTTGGTCCAGGGGCCCTCAAGGAACTGAAGCCTGCCGACAGCCTTGTGAGTAAGCTCGGAAGTGGACCTTCTGAGGCCCGCAGACAGCCTATGTGTGAGCTTGGAAGCTGATCTCCCCGCCCCAGATGACCTCTCTTATGATGCAGCCCTGGCCAATACTTTGATTGGAGCCTGTGGAAGACCCTGAGCCAGATGCCTCCCCACTAAGCTGTGCCCAGATTCTTGCCCCACAAAAACTGTGAGATGATAAAACATTTGTCAATTAAGCCACTACGTTTTGGAGTAATTAGTTGTGCAGTGATAGATACACTCAGATCTAAATTCCTAGGATATATTCAACTATGTGGAAGCCTCATGCTATAACAGTAGCTGTGTTTACAAATTTGAGGATTCACAGATATTAGCTCATATCCCTTCTCAAGAATCCTACAACATCTCCTCCTACTCCTTTTCTTTTTCTATTTTTAAATAAACATATCAAACTATAGTGACAGTTACACATTCTATTTTTTTCTGCCCCATGTGTTGTGAGCATTTCCCCATCTCATTAACTATTCTTCAAAGCATTCTTTATTCCTCGCACCTCTTCAGCAGCCCATTATAGGAGTGCGCCAGTGTTAATTTAATCACTCCCCTCTCTTATGTTTTGAGCTCAAGGTAGGGTTTTAACTCCTTGGGTCACATCTATGAGTACATGCCGGCCCCTTCAAGCAGGGCTTATGGGACGAGTATGGGGTAGGGGGAAGGCAGGATCGTCTGTGTTTAAGTGCTCCTGATGTTGCATCAAGTCTGTGCCACTTCCTGGTTATGTGTCCTTGGGCTGGTTACTTAACACTCCCAGGCCTCAGTTTCCCCTTCTGGACAGTGGGAATAATATCCATACCTACCTCACAGAGTTATTGAGGGATATTAGAGGCATAACCTGGAGTTAACCCAAGTAAAACACAGCACAGTATCTGACTATATTTAGGGTATATGGACACAAGTCAGACCACAATATCCTCACAAACACACACCCTGCTCCTCGTTGAGTCCTGGTCCATGGTGCATTATATCACCTCTTGTTCCAGACTCCAGCTGGCCTCCAATCAAAAGCACCTTGGCTTTCCTCCCACCAGTCTGACCCCACCTCTGGCACCACCCACAATCCTGCAACCATCACACCAGGTCTAGCTGTGTGGTCCTGGGCAAGTTCAGCCTGTCTCTGGGTCTCAGCTTCCTCATTTGTGATATGAGGAGGGGGTTAGATTGGGAGGTCCATGATGGATTGCCCACCTCTAAACTCTAGACTATTACCTCTTTTTTCAAAGGCCCTTCAGTTTCAACCATGCCGAGCACAGTCAGAGCTTTAAAGAATGGGCCAACGCAAAAAGAATTGGAAAACGTTTTAATTTATTTACCATAACATGTGTGCCGAGACTTGTGCTCAGCATCCTGGAGTGTGTTAAATACTAGCATAGTGTCTGTTTACATGTGTGTGAAAATCTGGGTGAAGAATTGGGGTTTCTCATCTCGGGCCCCTTACAGAGCTTGTCCTGAGTCTGAGTGAGAACCCACACACAGCCCCCCACCAACCCCTACCCCAGTAGATACTGCAGCTGAGCTCCTGCCTGGGAGAGGCAGGGAGCCATTTGGGAATAGCCTGGGGAGCTGACCCTGGAGAATCTCCCAGAGGTCTTAGTATGGCTATGGGTGCCCCTCCTGCAGAAATCCCTGGGGGGACGGTTCCAGGCTTCTCCCCAACTCCAACCCACAGGTTCAGCTCCTTGGCACTGAAAACACTGCTAGGGAAGAAAGAGTCCACTTCCGGGCTCCTGCTTGGCCTCTCCCTATCCAGGCTTGGACTCTGGACTAGCCCCAGCTAGGGTGAAGTTTCAGGAACTGCAGGGCTCTGTCACAAACCAGAAGAAAGAGCTCCTTCCCGTTCCCAGCACATAAACCTCACACCAGCCCCCAGTTTCTAGGACTTCAACTCCTAGGGTGCCCGGGCCAGGATCCCACCAGGAGAAGGAGGAACAGATGGTGGTGTTTCAGGTCCCCAAAAAGGCTGTGTGACCTTGGGCATGTCACATGGCTTCTCTGGCCTCTGTCTCCTTATCTAAAAAAGTGGTGTGATCATCTGGATTTTGCAGAATGACCATGAAGTTGAAATAAGATAATGGCGGTGACAGGGCCTGGCAGTGCTGGGCAGCAGTGATGACGTTCTCTTCCTGGTGAAATGCTGGGCCAGCTGGTCAGCCAAGAAAGGCAACTCCAATGGTAAAGGAGGAGATGCCTGTGTGCTGAGGCTGCTACTTCAGCCCAAGGAAGGGGCTAGCTCGGCTCCCAGGGATGGGTTAGAAGTGGACTTGAGCAGAGGAGAGCAGGGGGAAAGCCAAGAGTGGGAGAGGGCTGGAATCCACACCCAGCCCTTGCTGATCTGCTGCGGATAACGCCGCAGGCTTGTGCTCCCCACCCTGCAGGCAGGCCAGCCCCAGAGCAGTTGAGAGGCTGTCAGGTGAGGACCCCAGCTTCCCTCTGGTGGGGTGCTCCAACACAAGGGGCTGTAGAAGGGTGGGTTGGGCCGGGGGACCGGGCAGGAGGGTGTCGAGCTTGGAGGAAGGCCTTGGCAGGCTGGAGCCAGTGGGCGAGGCTGACTGGACAGGGCTGGGGGACAGTTGGGCAGGAGGTGCAGTGACCTGGGTGGAGTCAAGGGACAGAGAAGGCAGAGGGGACAGGGGGAGGCCAGGCGAACTATGAGGCTGTGGATCTGGAGAGAGCCGGTGAGCCGAGGGAGAAGAGACTGAGGTCTGAAACAGGCCCCGCTGCTCCCGGCAGCCATGTTGTCCATGGAGCATGGGGTCCGGGGGCCGCTCGGTCTGGCCCCAGCAGCCAGGGGTCACTGGAGCCAACCAGGTGGCAGAGTCCATGAGGCACAGGCGCTCATGCGCATGCAGGGTCCGGCTCCACCACACCAGCTCGGCCTGCAGGGCCTGGATCTCCTTCCGCAGCACGTGGTTGTGTTTCTCCAGGGTCTCGTGCTGCTGGGGGCAGAAGCAGATGGGTGGGGGAGGGGATGTCAGCCAGCATGAGTCCTGTACCCCGTCCCTAGCGTCCTTAACTTAGAGGGAAAGGTATATTGCCATCCAAATGTCTCAGCGAGGGCCCCTTGGCTCCTCTCTGGCCGGCTCTCCACAACCACCCAGCCCCTCTTGCCCATTCCACTCCTACTGGGGCTCAGATTGGCCTGCTCTCCATCCTCACCACCGGTCCCCTGGGCCAGCTGGTCTCCACCAGCCAGCCACCTCCACTCACTTGAGAACTCCACCAGCGTCCTGACTGGGGCGCCCCTGAAACCATCCTGTTCTCTTGGCCCAGAGGAACAGTTTGGCAATTACGGGATCAACTGTACATTCAAGTTCAAGTCCTTTAAAGGCTCCCACACCTCCCTGTACACCGTGGCCCCAGCTCACACCTCCAGCTTTATCTCTCTGGGATATCTATCTTCTCCTGCTCCCCTTAACTTCCTGTCCCTCCAGTGGACTCTGCTTCCTCACCACATTTCCTGTCTCCTCTGCCTGCACACTCTTCCAGTTCCTCCTCCCCTGGGCTAATCCTGACGTGGCCTTCTCATGACAGCTTGGAGGTCATTCTGTCTCGCACACTTCTAGGCTGCTCCATGCCCCTGTCAGATCTCCCTAGTGCCCAGAACTGACTCACAGAGGCACTGTGGGAGGAGCCCCGGGTAGTGTTTCAGAGGGTGGCAGCACCGGAATGTTCTATTCGGCACCCCCGAATCAGCATCTGGGTAAGTTCTGTTCTGCTGGACTCTGGGTTCTGAGAACCCACTGATAGTGTGCAGTTTTAAACGACCCTTTATAGTGACAGCAATGAAAGACCTTTCTTTCCACAGCTCCTAAGGCTGAGTGACTTCCTCTTGTTCCCTCCCCTACCATACCCCTTTTGTGGACAATTTTTATTTATCTTTTCTTTATTTTCTTTTTTTCATTGATTTGAAAGAGAGAGAGAGACTGCGTGAGCAGGGGAGGGGCAGAGACAGAAGCTCAAGCTGACTCCTTGCTGAGCACAGGGCCCTACTGGCCCCACACGGGCTCCACTTGGGGCTCCATCTCATGACCCATGAGATCATGACCTGAGCTGAAACCAAGAACCGGACGCTTAACCCACTGAGCCACCCAGGCGCCCCTTTTGTGGACAGTTTTTCAAAGGGGAAGCCATAAGGATGTTTTACATAAAAATGTTGCTGAGAGCATGAACTCAAAATGCTAACAGGCCTCAAAACCCCTAGCAGCCCTACTTCCAGGCTGGTCTCTGCATGTGGAATGATATTTTTAAAACATGGCATTAGGTCACCTCTCACCTAAATTCTCCGCAGGCTTCAATTCACCTCCAGAAACTGAGTCATTTGCTGGTTCACTCCTTCGTTCCCTCGCTATCTCTAGGCCGCTCACGTGTTACCTCCTCAGGGGAGGCTTCCCCGGTTAGGTTTCCGTCACCCCACCCTCCCCGCTCCCTTGCCTCTGCCCTGCTGTATTTGGCCCCACAGTGCTTATCACCAGCTGACATCCCCAATCCCCCACGGATAATTTATTTGTCTGTCTGGCTCCCCCATGAAAATATGAGCCCCGGAGAGTGCGGGGTAGGTTTTTGTCTGCTGTGTTCGAAGCTGTATTGCCGATGCTGAGAACTGTACCTGTCACACGGGAGACACTCAATAGGCCTTTTTAGGAGGAGTGAACACATGAATGCACGAAGCCTCCACCCTGCCAGGCGGGCACCATCCTGGTCCTCACTCACACACGCCTGCGCCAGCACTATTTCATCTGCCAGCAGGCCTTTTCCTACCTTCATCCGTTTGGAAAACTCCTATGCATCCTTCAACACCAGCTCAGACTCCATCTCCATGATCACCCTGATGTCACTGCCTGTGTGTTGTCCCCACTTTGTGCTCCTAGAGCACTTTATCCCGATTCCATCATCCGCTCCACAGGGCACGACTGAGTTCCTTCTATTTGTCGGGCACTGCTCCAGGTGATGGGGAAACAGCAGAGGACAAAATAGTTCCCTGCCTTCATGCTGCTTCTAGTCCGGTGAGGGAGACGAGCAATAGACCTCAAACATGTAAGTTCAGGGCTAACAAGAAGAATAGAGCAGAGTACAGGTAGCCGGCTCTTTAGATCATGTGGTTTAGAAAGGCCCTTCGGAGGAGGTGACATTTAAACCAAACAACCGGAAAGAAGTGAGGATCTAGCCGGACTGTGGCCTGAGGCTAGAGGGAACAGTCTCTGCAGAGCCCCTGGGCTGGATGTGCGGGGCCATTGAAGGAACAGGGAGAACAGGGTGTGGGGTGTTAGGGGAGGAGACAGCATAGGGCCTTTGGCAGGCAGGGCTGTAGAATTTCACTCTGCACTGTAAGAACTAAGGTGTAAGCATTTTTCCCAAGGGCCAGGTCCTGAGCCCAGCTCTGAATCCTTTCCCTGGGATGGAACCGGTGATGTCCTTTCTCTCTGCCACAGAGGAAGAAGAAAAGCTCCAAGGGTCAGCTTACCATCCAAGGTCAAGTTACCATCCAAGGTTAAGAGGCAAGTACAGTGGAGCCCTCCCCAACCCCACTGGGCTCCTTTGCCTCCTTTAGTCGCCACAAGGGTCCTGCCAGTGGGCAGGGATTATGGTCCCCGTTTTTGGATGAGGACAGTGAAGCTCAGCGAAGGAAGTGACTTGTAGCTATGAGTGCCATGGCTGGGACTCTAAAGCAGCCCATCTTAACCCTGAACGAGTTTCTCATAGGGTGAGTGCTTGTCTCCTCTCCCTAGATCCCGGGTGCCTCAAGGGCAGGGCTGGGCCGCGGACACACCTTTGTGTCCCCAGAGCCCAGCGCAGGTCTGGCACAGTTTGTACTCAGCACCTCTCTCAAGCTCAGGCGACCTGGAAACATACAGCAGTGGAGGGAGAGCCGCTCACAGGCGTGGAGATAGGGATGGAGGAGAGGTGGCCAGGCCAGGAAAGTGGAGTCAGGGTAGGGAAGGGAAGGCATCCCCCACCTGGTGCAGGGCGTCCGCCTTGTCCGTGTGCTTCTGCCGGCTGCGCTGGGCGGCTGCGCGGTTCTTCTGCTTCTTCTTCAGCCTCTGATGCTCCTCGGGGTCCTGCAGGGTGTGAGGCAGAGGGCTCAGGGGTCCCGGCAGGGGCTTGCACCCTCTGTCCAGGCCATCTGTAAAGCCACACTCTCCCCGATCCAATTCCCCAAGGGTCTCCTGTCTCCTAGAGGCCCCACACACGGCATCGCTCGCAGGTACACCTTGTTGGAACACCTGCCTCACCCCCACGGCCTGCTTACAGCTAACAGTGGGGGAGGACGAACGGAGGAGCCCAAAGCCTCAGTTTGAATGCAGACAGAACGGACTTCACGCCTACGCTCTGCTTAGCAGCCATCCGGCTCCGGGCAAATCGCTCCCTTCTGGAGCCCAGCTGCCTCATCCGCACAAGGGCCACAAAGCAGGCATGAGCTTCGTCAGCAAGGGCAGGGCCAGGGTCTGATTCGGCTCCGTGAGCCCAGGCCCAGCCCAGGCCCGAAGCTGATATTCAGTGACACAACAGATTTTTATTGAGCACCTACTGTGTGCCAGGCACCGAGTGAGGGGGACAAAAGAGCAAATCAAGCAGGCAAAAATCCCAGCCCTCAAGTTGCTGACATTCTGTGTGCCAGTAACCTGGAAGGAATGCATGAGTGGACCCAAAGCTTCCCAGCAGTGCCCCTCCTCCTCCCCGGGACCCCACATTAGGGGGTCCGTGAAACTTAGACAAAATATTTAACCCCAGTGCCCCACGTTTTGGAAGGTTGGGCAAGAGAGAATGTTGGAGACCCCGCAGCCCAAATCCCCCTTCCCCTAGGTCACTCTGGGAGTGTGTTCTGACTGTAGGGAGCTCAGACGGGACCCAAGACCCTGCCCTCCCTGGCTGAGAACTCCATGTTGCTCAGTTGATGGTCATTAAGAGGTCCATCGCAGGTTCTGGGAGGGCGAAGAGACTGGAGCCTGGGGGAAAGACCTGCACTTGACAGAAGGAGGTAGGCTTCTGGTACTTGGGTCCTGGGACAGGAGCAGGAACTCCAAGGGGAGCCACGCCAGAGAATCTGGGGAGGGAAGAGAATGCTCCCATAAGGGCAATGAGGGGAGGGTGGGTGAGGAGACAGCACTATTCAGAAGCCACGTTCTAAAACGGGAGCCTGGCTCTGCACTATGAGAGCAGGAAAGCCCTCACTTCAGTCACCTGGGGAAACTGAAGCCCAGAGAGGGGATATGTGGATCCCATGGTCACACCGCCTGTAAGTACAGAGCTGGGACTAGAAGCTCTGACCGTGTCCCTCCCTGCCTGGGAACTGGGGACGCTTGGCCCTATTCCCCTTCTCATCCCCTGTCCCTGGTTCCCTGTACTCACCGTCCTGGTCAGCAGCCCACTGCCCCCACAGAGGTGCATGGCTTAGGCAAGGGGCGGGCAGAGGCTCAGTTCGGGTGTCCCTCTGCCACTGTGACCTCCCAGTGCCCTCTGGGGGCTCAAGGAAGTGGCAGCTCTTTAAATCCCCGGTGACCACTCCGCCCCCAGCAAACCAAGTTTCAGTTTCTTCTAAAGCCACTGGCTGCTCAGAATCCCTGGCTCGGGTTGGCTCACGTGGCTGGAATTTCCTAACACGAACTGGCCTTCCGGTTGGGTCCCTTTTCTGGAAGGAGAGCGATGACAACGGAGGGTGGCCAGAGGAGGGGACACCAAAAGTCTGTTATTGGGGGAGGGTTCTGGGGGAGGGAGGGCAGGCAGCCAGGCACAGAGACAAGAGGCGAAGCCAATGGGGAGCCAAGGGCTCATGTGGGACACGGGAGAGCCTCTGGGAGCTGGAACTGCTGGCGTCCAGGTTTGCCGTCCACCTCTGGCCCGTGGGAGCTGCGCAGCTTTGAGAACGTGATTCATCCTCTCTGAGTCTTAGTTTCCTCATCTCTAATGGGTGTAGGGGGATGGGACAAGTAGCTACTCAGAGCGTCACGGAGGAACCAAGCAAGATAATACAACCACCCCCAAACCCTCGGAGACCAATGTTGAGGCAAGTATGCAAAAATAAGCAATGGCCCTTAAATAGGAGAACAGATGGATAAATTACTGTGTTTTCATTCAACAGACCACGCAGAAGTAGAGGGAGCGGTGTCTAGCGGTTAGGAGAACAGCCTCCAAGCTATGTGACTTGGGGACATAATTTCACCTTTCTGGGGAGCCTGGGGGGCTCAGCTGATTAAGTGTCTGCCTCAGGTCATGATCTCGGGGTCCTGGGATCGAGCCCCACGTCGGGCTCCTTGCTCAGCGGGGAGCCTGCTTCTCCCTCTCGCTCTGCCTGCTGCTCCCCCTGCTTGTGCTCTCTCGCTCGCTCTCTCAAATAAAAAAATACAATCTTAAAAAAAATTAATTTCACCTTTCTGTGCCTTTGTTTTCAAATCTATAAAGGGGGGATAAAAATAATTCTGTCAGGAACGTGAAATGCGGTGAGGCAGGCAAGGCACCTGCAACCATGCCTGGTACAGAGGAAGAGTCCGACAAATACTTGCAACTCTGATCTGCTGGGCGATTCAGAGCTGCACTGAGCATCATGCCTGAGAGTCCGTCAGGTCCAGTTGTTTGAAAATCACAAGCTGCAACAAGATCCAAACAACACCATTTCTGTAAGGTTGAATCATATGGGTACGCAAATATGTAATAAAAGTATAAAAATGTGCATGGGAATGAGAAACACGAAATTCAGAATGTGGTGACGGGGGCGCACCGATACACAGGGATTTCAGTGTCTGTGGTGTCCTGTGGCTTAAACACTCTGATAATATTATTACCTACATGTTGGCGTATACCTGTTTCCTTTTTTTTTTTAAGATTTTTTTTTTTTTTTTTTTGGTCAGAGAGAGAGAGAGGCAGACAGAGGGAGCAGCAGGTGTCCCACTGAGCAAGGATCCCGATGCAGGACTCGACCCCCGAACCTTGGCATCATGACCCGAGCCGAAGGCAGACGCTTAACCGACTGAGCCACCGAGGCGTTCCTGAAGTGTTTCCTAATAAATACTTCTATTAAAGACTTAGCAAACCCAGAAGCCTCAGGCAAACCTGCACGGTTGTTGTATCTCTAAGGGAGACTGTGCACGGAAGGGACATCTGTCTGGGGACAGAGGAGCCAGGAACCCCGGTCCGAGAACAGCATAGCAACTGATGTGCGGTGCCCAGGGTCCCGTGGTCTGGTGACTAGAGCACCTCGGATTGTATCTGAGCCCTGAGGGCTCAAGGCTGATGGTGTGGGATCACAGGAATGGCAAACAGTGTAGATGGGATCTTCTGATAGGTAATGGTGTCCTGCAGGGCGGTGTTGAGGGGTTCACAGCTGCCTCGGGGCTTCTTAGAAAAGAGCAGGGCAGATGAGTCGCAGCATCTGCCGTGCTGTGATTGATTAGTGATGTCTGCCTTGAGCGGGGCTGGGGGAGTGGCCACCCCTGCTCTGCCTAGAATTGGGCATGAAACCAGTCTGGGCTTTAGAGTCAGACCCGACTCTGATACTTGGCACTCAAAGGTCGATGCGGCCTCAACATTGTCATACGTACGCTGTAGATGACAATGAGATCATACCTATTTTACAAAGTTGCTTTGAAGATGGAAAAGAATGAGCTGAGAAGAAAGCTCTCTGCATATGGTAAAGTGCTATCCCGCTAGAATCCGTTCCCCTTGGTGAGATTTGTGGGAACCCGGGATTAATGAAGCCTCCTAATTGTAAATGCCCAGGCGAGGGGGGGATGGGCATGACAGCTGGGTCTGGCCCTCCTTGCTTGAAAGGGGTCGGGGAGCAGAGGCTGAAGTGGGGCACCGCATGCAGGGAGGCTGCCTCGATGTCTCTGGATGATTTTTGTTCCTCAGAAACCAAGAGGGCCAGGTCATCTTGCCTGAGGCGGGCACCTAAGGGGCTCATTAAGCCAGTCCATGAGCTCCACAGGGAAGGATCTGGGAAAGCCACACATGTGATGTAACCAAGAAAAAAAAAAATCTGTGGGGTAGGGGGGCAGTGGCTAGGCCCCAGACCTGGACCCCCAGTCTTTCCCTCTGCAGACCCTAGCTTGGGGTGGAAAGGAGACAGTCAGCAAGTGTGGCCACAGCCCTGGAGGAAGTCTGAAGAAGGCAGCGCTTATGGCTGGCTCTCCCTGAGCCGTGTCAGGGATGAGGGACACAGAATGGGTAATGTTTAACCACGAATGGCTGTGCGTGGCTTCCCCAAAAGGTGGACGCCCTCCCAGGCCGGCAGGGCAGGCTTCCGGGTCCTCCAGGGCAACCTCCTACTTAGAAGGGAAAGAGACTAATGCCCAGAGAGCCCAGGTGGCCTGGAGGGAGGGGGCAGAGCTGGAGGGAGGACACACCTCTCTCCTCCGAGCCCTGAGTCCTCGTCCACAGCCAGGGCGGGAGGGCCTGATCCTCTAGTTCGAAGCCTGCAGCCCCTGCAAGGGGAGGCTGGGAGGCCTCCCCAAACCAGAGCTACAGAGTGAGCTCTTGGGCAACGGGGTCGTTTCCTGTCTTACTCTCCAAAGTATCAAACACTGCCTCCACATAAGGGGTGATCAATTGATGAATGAATGAATGCAAGTCCCGCAGACAGCTTGCCAGAAACCCCAAAAGCTTCCTGGACGAGTAAAGAAACTTCTGCCTTACTCATTCCCACAGGACCTGCCTTGGATTCCTGGGGGGGGCTCTCCTCAACCAACCTCCTCATTTTACCAGCGAGGAAACTGAAGCACAGGGAGGATACAGTCACACAGCTGGTTTGGGAGAAGCCCTGTCCCAGTTCCTTCCCACACCTTATAGGCTTGGAGAGATGCTGGGGGTCTCCAGTTGTCCAGGCATGAAGACCCTCTGTCTAGGTCTCCCCCACCTCCCACCGTGCACACCCCTCACTTGAGGCCTGGTCTTCTCGGGATAGCAGAGAAAGAGACCAAGTGGCTGCAGACGGGGCTGAGGCTGGCTATAGACTTCCCACTTGCAACTGTGGATGGACCTGCGTGGGAGCGAAGCCTCGGCCCACACCAGTTCACACCCCGCCCAGGGTGTGAGACTCACACCC